AGTGCTATTTAATATTTTTTTTTATTTTTTTTTTTAATACTAAAATATAATAATAATAATGGATCATAGTTTCTACTTCTTTATTATGTATCTCTAAAGAAACCATCATTTTCTGCGCCATCGGCCAATATCATTTTTATATGATGCGTGGCACCTATGTTCTAAATTTTCATATGACTGTCCAAATTTTTAAATGATGATTTCCATCTATGAGCTATATATAATTTTTACCGATCATTTAATATCTCAAAAATCTTTATTTCAAGTAAAAAAAAACAAATAATGATGGTCATAAATATTTCGAATATAATAAACAACAACAATAATAAATTTTAAGGCGTCTACTAGTACTTATTAATCCACAATTCATTGCTTTAATCTGTGTCATTAAAAATATGTCTTGTTCAAACTCGGAAAGAGCTTGAAAGGGTTCCACATTTATAACTTTTCTCTAAAAAACCAATTATTTTTTCATATTTATTACACTTATCCCTATATGTATATAATTTTATAAAAAGTACATGCTTATATATTTAACTTCATTAAATATGCAATTAGCTACAAGTGTAAATTTGTATTTTTAGAATTGTGCATGTTATTACTCCTTTGATGTAAAATGTATATATTCCATATCAGAGTTTATTAGCATTTCATATACTTGGTTAAATTTTTATGTTATAGTTTTTAAGTTCTGGCTAGAACTTTATACGATCTAAAGATATTTTTGGGAATTTTTTAATATATTTACATAAATCATCAACATCAAATTTTCTTTTATCACGCTCACTTGAAACTTCATTTGCAATTATTTCTCCCACACCATCTAAAACCTTCAATTCCCAAAGGTTTGCTGAATTAATATAAGGAAAGAAAATGCAAAGGGTTGTAAACCTTAATTGCGGCAAATTGTGCACAAGATGAGTACACATTCCATAAAATTTTACAAAGTTATCTTTGCTAACAACTAAACATTCTGGTTGCAAACTCTCCAAATTAATTGAACATACACAATTTGTCAGAATTTAGTAATAACCAATCTTTAATATAAATTCAACAAAACTCATAAAATTCATAAAATAAATTCAGAGTATATTAATTCATCACCTGAAAATTGGAGTCAAGATAGAAAAAATATATATTTAAAAAAAGAATTATAATTTATTTATTTTAATAATTAATCCACATTCAAATCAAACAATTCTTGAATATCTAAAAAATAAAATTAATGAATTTGGGCTTGAAGGGAAATTAATTTGTGGCATAATTGATAATGGAAGTAACATGAAAAAAGCATATGAGTTGTGGGAAGAAGTTTAACGAATTCCATGCACTGCTCATATACTTCAGTTAAAGCACTTGGAACAATCAAACCATATGTCAAAAGATTTAAAAAATTGGTTAAATTTTTCACATCATCTCCAAAACAAACTGAAAGGTTAAATAATGCCCAATTAGAAATTTCTGTCATCAACAAGATTTGGGTCAGAATAATTTAATACATTTTCAAAGTAATGATGATGGAAATGATAATGGTAATAACAATAATGATAATGGTAGTGATGATGATGATGATGATGATGATGATGATGATGATCAAGAAACTAATTTAAACAATATAAACATATTAAGAAATGTGGCAGCTGTTAAAACAAGGTGGAATGCATCTTATAATTCATGGATTAGATTGTTGAAGTTGCAAAAGTCAATTGAATGGTTGGCAAATACTTTACCTTATGAGCCTGGAAAAGATTCTAAATCTGATGCTCATATGCTTAAATATTTATTATTGAAGAATTATGAATGGGAATTACTAGAAAAAATTTTGTTACTTCTTAAACCTTTTGAAGAGGCAACAACTTTTTTTCTGGTGCTTGATATCCCACTTTATCATTAATGTATCTAATTATACAAAAATTAAAAGTAAAGTTTGCATGTGGAGAAGAGCAGGATGATAAAGAATTTGATATAAGTGTGTATTTTTGATTATAATATGTTATAATAATTTCTAAATAATTTGTTTTTAGGTGATGATGATACCAGTGACAATGATGATGATGATGATGATGATGATGACAATAAGGTTTCCAGTCCAAACTGTTTTCTCAAAGCCCAAACTAATTTGGGCAATTTCGGCTTCCCAGTATTTTTTATAACATGAACATTAAAAAACTATACCAATCAACTTATTTTAACTTAAACAACTTTAAAGTAATTTCACCAAATTTCAGCTAATAACAAAAAATAGTTTGGGCTTATAAAAAAGTAATTTTTGCCCAAAGTGTTTCAGCAATAATGAACCATTAATTCATAAACATTTTACCTGATCATGAACTTCAATTCCACCAAGACCAAATCTTAACAATGTTGCATTAAATTTTCAGCAAAAAATTTATAATTTTCTATTTGATTATTGGGATAAACTTCAGATCTTAGTTTACTGGCAACTATATTGGATCCTCATTTGAAAAGATTGTCTTTATTTGATTACAACACTAAACAAAACACAATAGAAAAATTAAAAGAAATTTATCTACAATATGAGGAAAATGAAATTTCAGTAAATGAAAATTCTTCAAATTTGTCAGAAACATAAAGTTATTCATCTAATTTTTTTGAATCAATTTTGATATTGAATAAGATGATGAGATATCTGAAGTGGATAAATATTTGGATCTTCATTTAACTCCTTTGGCACATCAATCAGAAAATCCTTGGGCTTGGTGGGAAACAAGGAAAAATGAGTTTCCAATTCTTTCAAAAATATCCAAAAATATTTGTCAATACCAGCAACATCTGTACCTGCTGAAAGGCTTTTCAGTGATGCTGGTAATCAAATAAATCCCAAGTGTACATGTTTAGCATCTAAACTTGTTAATGAGCTTTTATTTTTGAAAAGAAATAATCTTTATTGTGAGATTGATTTTGACTAAATAAAATTTAGATTAAATGTCAATTAAATTCCTATCATAACCATCTACGAAATGTATAATAATAAAGTTCAACAGGCGTGTGATTATTTAGTAACGAACGGTTGAATTTACCAATTAAAATTTTTCACGTGACTAAATTAACCGGTTAAAGAACTTTTGCGCGGTACTCCTTCAGTCACTTCCCGTCGCCCTTCCTTCCTTCAAACGTCTTCACACATCCCCTGCCTTTTTCAACATCATGTTTGCATCTTTTATTTCGTTTTGAATTTCTTCAACAGTTGTCATTTTATAATTATATATAATTTTTGTTTGTTATTGATTTCTACGCATAATTTCGACCAATAATAAATTAGTGGGCACATGACTTGGATTTTTATTTATATTTTATTTTTTAACTTGATCCCTGTTCACTTTGTCTGATCTTGTTGCCTAAATTTTTAGAGGAATCTTATCGTGTTCTTAAATCACCATTGTCATCATCTGATGGTGGTGGTGGTACACTTGCAATTTGGGGTTATAGTTATAATACATAATTATTATTTCAGATATTCGTAATTATTCAAATACTTGTATTTATTTTGAATATTCATAATCATTTCAATAATTACAAATCCCTACACAATTGATTGCTGTAAACGCGTATCCTTTGTGTAACAGGTCAGTGGAATAATAATTAACCAGGACCTCGGACAATCATATTTGAACTGGTATGTAAGAAAACATAAAAAGTTGACAGAATATCTTACTAAAAATAGCTAGCGAGTTCCTTTTTGGGCCATTTTTTTAAAAACCCAATTTTTATTATGTAAATGCTTGAAGATCTGACTGGTGTTTTAACAAGATCGCTACCCACTTTTCTCAAATACCAGTTCAATTATAATTGTCCGAGGTCCTAATTAACCCTAAAAACTATTTTATTATTCAACAGCCAATCCTTACCAAATTTGGTCACGCGATTCATCTCTTTTTTGGTTTTGGTACCATTATATCGATTTATATTGTATGATATGCGTATTCTTTTCTCTTGTCTGTTCGTTTTTCTCTCGAGTAAAACGAGAACATTCGACCGATACCCTTTTGAACCCCTAATTCTTTTTGATCGTTGAAAAACGGCCGACCTTCTTTGATTTACCAACTTAATCATCATCAACGTTTTTCAAGTCTTTTCCTTTCTTTCGGTTCCAAGATTTGTTTGATTATTCATCTTCTTTTTCCATTATTTATCGTTTCTTGATGTCCTTTCGGTTTTATTGAAAAGAACCGCATGGTTCGTGGTAGGTTATTTGGTAGGTTTTTATGTTATTTTCATAATCCGAGAACATTTCCTGTTTTAATGATTCAAAATAATCATTTTTTCGTATCGTAAAATGCTATTGGACAATTATAACAAACTTACTCATAATGCAAAGATCCAATGAATAATCATAACAATAATTTGTTAAAAGTTAAAATTAATCGCAACACTAATAATAGCAATAATAAATGAAGACGTCATGATATAAATTTGCTTATTGAAGATGCCAAACACTCACTATAACTACTACTAGCAGCAATAAAAATAGTAATAATGAATAATAAAAGGCAAGAAATAATCATAAATACAAATTTTCAAAAGATTGTGTGGCGTAGAGGTTGGCACCGCGCAAAAATTCTTTAACCGGTTAACAGTGTGCCAACCCCTCGTGTGACGATTATCCATCCATCACTCTAGTTATTATTCTTCAAACGAAATAAAACAGCTTTTCACTTATGAATAAAAGGTTTAGAGAATTAAATTCTCTATATAACAATACATGTTTTAAACCTTTTAATATCGTATATTTAAGGTCCCAACGTTCCTAAAATCGTATTATAAATATTTGCTTTTAATTCATTACAATTTTTTAAAATTGCATTTAACATTTGTGAAATTTTATGACGACAAAGTAAAAATTGTTCTTTACTAGTACTATTGCTAATATAATAATGATGATGATAATAATAATAGTGATAATGATAAATAATAATAATATATTACTTTCATCATTGTTCATATATATACATATATACACATCAATTTTAATTAATTAATTAATCTGTTTTGAAACAAACGATTTGTTCGACGAGGTTTTCAATATCCACTTTTTCATGTAGAAATGGACGAACTTCGTCGTTGATTTGCGAATCATCCAAATTCAATTCAACTTCTTCAGATTCAATAATAATGTTTTTCATAAATTCAGAATTTTTATCAAGTAGATTTCGTATGAAACGTCTGAATATCGTAAAGACAAATAGAATAAAAGCAATTATGTAAATCAAATTTTTGATGTCGGCTAATGATTTGAACTTTTTGCCTTCGCCATGATACAAGTAAATAAATGATGCGTTGGTGAGTGATGAAAGTAACGCAAGCAATGTCATGTTGTTGATCCATGGTCCAATGCTGTCTGCTCTTGCAGGAACTGGTCTCCTGGTATGGACGCATAATTTGATCGCGTCGGAACGTAATTCAAACCAATTGTTTACAAGTGCAAAAAGTGGTGTTAATGGCCAAATTACCGAAAATAGACTAACATATCCATACTATATATAAAAATGTGTATGTGTGCAAATAAATATATCATTCATTATATTATATAATATAACATCAATAATGATTTCATTAATTAACTTACCTGAATGACCATTTCAGCGTAATCTTCATAAATATTATAAGTGGGCAAACCAATTTCCCTTTTTATTCTTCTTAACAAACCAGCTTCATCTTCATTTTCATGAATCTCATGTTCTCCATCGTGACTTATTGTTTTCATTCCAAATCTCATCAAATATGGTAAAATTATCTCCATAAAAAGATTCAGAATTTGTGCCGTCAATATAAAGTATTTCAATTCTGTGTTTAGGCGTTCCAATCCTACATCTTTAATGGTGAATGATAATCCCCAGCTTTTAAATATCATTTCCAATGTTTGTCTGATTAATTCATTATAAGGAATATAAATCCATCCGATAAAGAAAATTGAAAGATAACATATAAGGAAGTTCGAGACAAATATCTTTTGTGTAAGATGGAATTCATAATCAGATTCAGTTTCATAGTTTTCAAAATCATTTAGATTTTTTGCAATCTTTGCATAAATCATATTCAATGCTGGAACTAATAGACAATATGCAATTGTTGGCAGATAAACCTGTAAAAAATAAATAATAGTTAAACAATTGATTAAGAGTTATTATTTAAATTACTAGTAATAAATTATATATCTTACCAGTTGATCTCTAAAAGGACCAATATAAAACTCGGTCATAATAACCTCGAATAAAATATAGAATACCAAAACTACAACGAACGTTAATGCAAATAAAGCGATTACGGGCAATACACCAATTTTTCTCAAGACTCTTCTCGATTTTGGAAAATGTGGAAGCTCTTCACCAGATCTTGGGTCAACAACTGGTCTGAAATGGGGACTTTTACGTTCTACTTGATGGTAGTTGTATACACCCCAGCTTATTGCAAGTTTTCGTTCTTTTTGACGCCATAACTCTGTAAAAGCAACTGACCAGACAATATTGAATATAGCAAAGAGTATTGTAAAATTGGGAACAATGAAATTTACGAATAGTCCCGCAACAGTTGGTAAGATGAGCCAGATTGTATAGTATTGCAAAAATGCAAAATAATATGCAATCTAAAGTAAAAAACAATCGTTAATATTAATGCTAGCATTGTTTGTTTATTTATTTATAATTACCTTTTCCCCAAAATGATCTTTTAATCGATTTAGATCTTCATCATTAATTAACCATTTTGTCGACCAGGCTTTAATCCAATTCTACAAACAATTATTTCTAATCAATCAATCAATCAATCAATCAACCAATCAATTGGTCAAATAACAAATTACCTTATTGTAATTACGATCGTGAAGAGGAAAGACACTTTCAACAAGTTCGAACCCATCTAATTTTGGGTTGATGCCAGCGCATTCATCATCATAACTGGTAATAATATCGTGTACAAGTCTTAATCTTTCAGCATCACTCAAAGAAACATCGATTCTATCTTTATGATGATCAGTAACAGCAACACCAACTCCAGCAAGAATATCTTTTTTCCTAAATTACGCAAAATAATCAGTTTAAACAATTTATTATAATAAATTATTAATTGAACAATTTCAAATAGCATATATATATATATATATATATATATGTTACATATACATGTACATATGTATATGTGTGTGTGCGTATATAAATAAATAAATAAATAAATAAATAAGTAAATACCTTGAACGCCTATATTCTTGAATTAATCGTTTGTGAGGACAGAGTATAAAGAATAAAATTAATTTCTCCGAAATTAATCTAGTTTCATACTCTAGACCAGCTCTTTCAAGATTATTTTTAAGTAGTTTCAAAGTGCTTTCAAGTTTAATTTTTTGTTGTTGACGTTCTTCAGCTGTTGTTAACGAACGAAAGGCTTTAGTTTGGACAACTAGAATGTAGTCTGCATACACTTCTTTATCTTTCTTGTAGAGTAAATCCAAAAAAAATAGTTTTGCTTTATCGATTGTCTTTTCAACGCTTTCTATTCCGTCATTAATTTCATTAACAAACACATTTGTAGTCATTGTTATTATCGTTTTTTAAAATTTGAAATTATTAAAAAAAGAAAATAATAAGCAAGCTAATTACTAATGATGATGATGATAAAAAATTACAAAATGTTGCTCATCGTGCATCTCGGTCTCACAAACATTAGTATTAATAAGTGCAAAATCTGAAAATTAATACCCTTTGAATTTTTATAATAAATAATAACAATAAACTATATGCTATATGCGTGTAATCTTGTAGCCAAAGTATATTTTATCACATTAGTTGTTTTAATGTGTGTATATATCCATCATCACCGTTTATTATTGAAAATCATGTGAATCATCTTTAAGAAACAAAAAATTTTCTTACTTGAAAAAAGACTTATCATCAATAGAATATACAAGATATTCTTGTTAGACGTGTAAATTATCTTGAGAGATGATAATACGAGTATGATAAGTATACTCTGTACCTTTAGAGCGTGATAAATGTTATGAGTAGTCATGTTTAATTTTTAAAAACAAAAAACCAAAACATGTGATTGATTGATTGATCAATTTTATTTGTTGAAATTTTTGAAATTTGATTTGTTTATATAAATAAATAGAATTGTTTTCCCCCAAAAAACCTCATTTTCTTGATAAATTATAGTTTCAAGCCGACAGACAATGTTTATTTAGAGAACCATCAAAGTTAAGCTTGTTTCGTAACAAAGTGATTTGCTCTCATGCATCAGCCGACAGCCTTTCAGAAGGAATTGATTGCTTTCATTATCACATCATCATTTCAATGGTTCATTTTCTTCTATAGGAAGCAGTTGGGTATATTTTTGTATTGATTCAAATTCATCTGATTCAACCATTTCTCTTGTTGATACCGAAAAAAAAGCCATTGCAGAGGTTTGTTTAGAATCGGATGATACGGCGACGGAATATTATATATTAATGGCCTTTTAAATTTATAAAGCCAACCATTTTATAATTGCTCAAATCTAAAAATGTTGCAAATACGAGAACATTTCCGAACATTTTAATACGACTGGTTTGCTTTCGGAAAGTTGAACATGATTAATTAATTAATTCATGTATTGTACAATAATTAGAATCGCCCTACTACTTAATAACTCACAGTCTATTGATCGCGTTCTTTATTAACATTTTGCCGATCAGTTTAAATCACTTCGATAATCGATTGTGAAAAATTAGCATCTCGGTTGGAATAATGATTCATTGGATTTATTTTAGTGTTTATCTGAATCAATAGATCAATGATATTTTTAATAACGTGCATTTTATTGTTATATTAAAACCTGATTTTTTAATTTGCAGTAATAAATAAAATGAATAACACAAATTTTTTTAATATGCAATTTAAGTAATAGTAACATGCTTTTCCTCTATTTCTAAATAAACAGTGATATGCTTGTGGTAAATATAAATAAGGAAAGAAGTTATGTAAAATCTACTACTACGGTCCATTAAATTTTTTTCCCGCCAAAATTCATCCGCCAATTTGAATTCCCGTGAATAAATTATTTTAATTTATTAATTGAATATTAATATTAATTTCGGATATTTTAATTTTGGCGGATGTCGAATATTCTCACGGGAATTCAAATAGGTGGATGAGTTTTGGCGGAAAACTACACGATTATTTTAACTCACCTTATTAAAACATTCCATGAATCCTTAGAAAGAGATTTTGATACAGTACAATTTTATGAAAAAAATCATCAATATAGATATCTTTATATCTAATTAAAGAGATAATATCTTCTAGTAAAATTTTCAACTCCTTAAAATCACTTTTCTTCCAAATTTTCGATTTGTCCAGTTCCAAATCAATTACTTTTATTGCAAGATCGGCAATACTTAAAAGAGAAATCTAAGTGGATTTTTGAAATTGTTGGACTTTAGGAGTAATTATGGATTGTTTATAACTAATTTTCTAAGGAAATCATCAAGTAAATTAAATGATTGATGTCTTAATGATAGTTGATAAAATTCTCTTGGATCCATTGTTCTTTGTTTAAAATCAAATCAATTAAATGCTTTTGTATTTGATCAATAATTTTAAAATCTAATTCATCAGATGCTTTAGAAGTTTGATAATTCAAATGTATCTAAATTATCTAAATTGACAACCTCAGAATATATATACCTTTAAAAATATTTTTTAAAATAAATATCAATTATTTTAGAAGAAAATATAATAACATTTTGAATAAAGGATCTATAAACAAATTAAACTTACTTTGTGATGACAAGTGGCGATAACCACCATTCTTATGTTAAACACTTACTCAGCTAGTTCTATTTGTTCCTTTTCTCGATTCTTTTATTTTTAGATTGATTATATACATTTTATCAATATAGAAAAGAATTTATTTGATCAACAAGAGTGGTACACACACAACACAACTAAGATTAAAATTTCATGAGCACACGTATTACATCAAAAAAAATTTTTTTTTAGACCATTTTGATGTAAAAAATTTAATCTTCTGTATTCAGTCGCAACATCTTTATTCACCTTCAGGTAATCAAAATCAAATGAAAGGATGTCCAACTGGTATCAAGAAGGAACTCTGCTCATTGCAACATAGATCTGGCCTGGGGCAAACATATTTTCATCAATTGTTAGAGTCACATATGGCAATGTCATGCCTTGGGTCTTGTGAGTTGTCAAGGAAAATGTATTCTGCAATGGGAATTGGAACCTTGAGGCATGTGTACCATTTATTTCAAAATTTATAGTGATTTTTTGAACGTTCATTTTAATAATGTTACAATTAGTTGGAAAAGTAATTTCTACATTATCATCATCTATAACTTTGGTGATCACACTTATTGTTCCATTGCAGATGCCATGTTCAAACATATCATATAACGTTATCTGTATCAAAAAAAATATCAATTGTAAATTTTAGCCATAATTTAAAAGATATTGTTTAAAAAAATAGATTCTGTTTGATAATTATAAATAAAATAATTTATCAGTCCTGTATTTTTTTTTATAAAAAGTAATGATTTTTTTAATAATTCCTAGTCTGTTCCAAGTATATATTCCTCAAAAATTAATAATCGGAAAAAAAGTAATATGATAAATAATAGTCATAATTTAATGTATTTACCAAAAAAGTAATTAATTCTATTAATGTATTTACTAAAAAAAGCAATTAATTCTGCCCAAATCACATGGGCTATTCCTAAAAAGTCTTGGTCAATCTCTTTAACAAAAAAATTACTGTATCTAAAAAATGATAATAATAAGAGGTGTTTGTACACTTCTTTATAATAATAAAAAGCCTAATGTAAAATTCCAGCAATCAGAAAATCTAAATATCTAAATCCATTTGATTAGAATCTGTAAATATAATAATTTATACATAAAAATAATATTAATGTTGAAATTGATATTTAATTTTAAAACTAATAAATAAATAATGATAATTACCATTCAAATTCATTTGATTAAAATCTATAAATATGATTAATTTAATTAATATTGATATTGATATTGAATTTAAATCAATAATCAAATAATTACCATTATTAATACTATCTAAATCAATTTGATTAGATTCTATAAAATGATTTATTATTAATGCTGATATTGAATTTTAAGATTAATAATCAAATAATTGATAATTACCATCATTGTTGCTAATAATTGTAA